ACATAGAAAAGGAACAAAATTTGGGCAGATGTTTAAATATTGCCTGTCTATATTCAGCACAAATTATTATTTAAAGCTAGCAGCTCACCGGGGCTCTGTATTGTATCCTTTGCCACCTAAATCCTAAAGTCCTATGCAGATCTAACAGAGGAAAACAACAGAGGAAAAAACCTTTAACTTTTTTTGTCCTACAGATTCTAATCTCAAAAATGTTTCACCTAAATGAAACGTTTGCCTGCTCACTAAGTTTTTCATCACTCTCACAAGCTGAATTTGCTAAGGCTGGAGCCTACAGCCTTGCCAGTTTAAAAAAACCTACAGACTTGCTTCCAAAACCTCTATAAACTGCAGGGGTTCACCAAGATAAAGATACTACATAGCTTCTTAGCCAGACTTAAAGTCTAAAGCTACCTACTTGGACTGTCCCTGTTAAAAACTCACCACACAATTACAAAAACGAGCCAAAGATCACACCCTAAGCCCCTGGAATTGATCAAAAACTAAAACCCACATGGTCTCCACCAACCGCAGACAATACATCATTGCAAGTGTGCTGTTTCCTCCTTCAAATCCACGTAGACTTTATTCATCAAGGCTACCACGAAGTGTAGCAGAGGTGTGTTCAGGAAGAAAACCTTTCCAGCCACAAGGATGACCTGCCTTCTCTTTTTTCTTGTTGATCTTGATGTAGTGTTTGAGATTCACTAATACATTGTACAGATTTTAAAATCAGTAAAAAACATAGTGTTAGGAGTCATGCAGATGAAATTCAAGGGTTATCTCATATTGATGAAGCTCATGTTGAGAATGTGACTTAGTTCTGCTACACAAGAGGGATCGCCATGGCTGCACCTCAGAATTAAATAGTTACAGACCATGCTGGATACCCACCAGGCTTCTCTCCAATTTTATCCTGCTAAACTTAGCACAGATGTGCACTCTTGGGGGCATAGGTGATGCCCAAAAAGAAAAAATAAAAATAAATGTGTTTCCTATATTAGTTTTTCCTGTCAGATTTTCCTATTAAATAAGTCCTTTCTCATTTAGTGAGAAGTTAGAGAGCAGATAGAGAGAAGTCAGTATTTTAGGTAAAACAGCACTGGGGATATATATAATTACAGAAGAGAATGCAAATTGTATCTATAGATTATGGCAATTTAAATGTAAAGGTGCAGCTAAAAATGTGACAGAATAAAAGTGTATGTGGTTATGAAAATTAAGGAGTGAACTACAGAAAGAAATTCCGTACCAAGAGTTGAAAGGAGTTTCTACAGGGAAGGAGGTCTTGTGATTGAGGCATAGGGAGCATCTCAGAAACCCCTCTGTGCAATTTTATTTCTATCATGTTCATTTATTCCTTGGGTAAAAATTGGAAATAGAAAAGAATATGTTTCAAAATTTATCTTAAATGTAATTCCAATAGTGTAAATTTTCCTATCTCTAATTTTATGACTTCTCATCAAAAAAAAAAAACCTTTTCAGTAAAAATATCACAAAATAATTTGCAGTATGAGATTATAACATTTCATAATCAATTGTGAATTACTGAAAATCTTCAAAAGATCATTTGTTAAGTAGTAAATTGTTGTTTTGTTTACTAAGAATCTCAAAATTTTCTTACAAAATTTCTCTAATTTTTGAATAGAATTTTTAAAATTTTGTTTTAAGAAATGTTCAAATGTATTTATTTATTGTCTTCCAGAATTCAAATATTGGAAAGTATATATTTTGTTTAAATCTTATGTTATGTGTGGCTATTTTCTTTATAAACAATTAAATTTTTTTTCTGAAGTATTCTGGAGAGGTGAAAGCAACAAATATTTCAAGTTTGGCCTATTATGAGAGCTTCAAATTAGACTTTTAGTAGAAAAGGTCTCACCTTTCCTGGAAATCCTCTTCACTTTGGTATTTTAGTGATTCAGAAGAACAAAAAGTAACTTAATTATTTCTTACTTTATTAGCCTAATTGTTAGAGTAGGTTGACTGCCTGGAGCCAGCTTCTCTTTTGGAAAATAGTACTCTTTACAAAGCCATAGTGTTCTCAGTCTAAAGCAAACCACTATTATTGCCTGTTTTAAGAGGTGTGATGGCTCTCTTTAGCAACACTGAGCCTTTCAAGTAAAATGGATAACATTCCAGTAAAATCATCTTAGCATCTGCTGTTGCTGGCTGGCACTGAGACCTAACTTCTGACTCTATTTTTGTTACTGTGGCTTTGTTCATTTTAAAGCATAATATTTGTCTAACTGATTAGTGGCTGTAAACTGAAGGTTCCAAGTTTCCAAATACTTGAGCATGAGAATCAAGGAGTTAAGATAGTTCACTTGGGGACTTGTAAGTTATTATTCATGTGGAAATAATATAATTTAGAATAAATATGTGTGTCTGTGTGATCTACTGTCACCACCCTAAGGATAAAGATTTTCCAAGAACCCTGGAAGGTAAGCGAGGCATGTCTAATTAATCATAGATTTATGGGTTTGAGGCCCCAAAGCCGCCATTACCTTATAGTGAGTTTTAGCCCCCAAAATAAAGTTTTATTTTTAACATTAAAAATGGAATTTGTCCTAGTTGGCATTTTCTGGAAAATTTCTATGATGTCACTTTAGTTGGATATTCTGACATTGCATACATTTTATATGTAAACTGTATTTATATGTTCTTTATTGTGCATATTTTACATAGGCTAATCATTGTGGTCAAGTGGTGAATTTTTAGAGGCTATCCTGACTTAAAAAGGAAAATCTAATTAAAAGTTTAAAATATTTTATGTCGTATTACAGACTTGAATGGGAACAACGATTTCAGCATTACAAAACTTCACATTATGAAATGTACCAGCAGATATTTATTATTGGAAATAAAACCAATCATTTTTCTAAATACCAATTCCCCTGAAATATCTGACTAACAGCAATTCTACTAGGGGAAATTTCTCTTGACATTGGTTAATAATCCAAAATGCTCTATTATCTTAACTCAAAAATTGAAAATAGAATGAAATCACATGAAACTATAAACATTAATGACACAGTAACACATTGACCTCTTTAAAGTTTATTAACCATTACTTTATCTAATGAGAATATCAAAGTGTATCAGATTAGTTTTCAGCAGCGAAATTGATTTATTTATGCCATATTAGCATGTCAAAAAATAGAGTCAGACTATTCAACCAATATGTTTCTGTGCTTTTATTTTAAAAAACATCAAAATATAGATTTTCCTCTTCTATTAGGACATTACATACTCATAATAAATTTAGTCCACCCTGATTGTGTTAAATATGTATTCTATAAGCTTGAGCTTTACTTTTTAGACAAGTGAATGTACAAATTCTGAAAGGATTTTTTTCCCCTAGTTAAATGTTAGGGACTGGGTGTTGTAGTTCACATCTGTAACATGAAAACTTTGGGAGGCTCAGGTGAGAGGATCACTTGAGGCCAGGAGTTACATCCAAGCCTGGGCAATATAGTGCAACCCTCATCTCTGAAAAAAAATATATATACATACATATAAACTGGGCACAGTTGCAAAACAATTTTAGACTGCCTTACAAAGGATGCATTAAATCCTTCTCTTTTTCCTCGTTCCCTGCTGACTGGCTTCTACTCTACTGAAAATCACAAATAATTGCCATCTATCCCTCTTTAAATTAATGACATTTTACTACAACTCTAGTTTTAGAGTTTTTGTTACCCCGATATGACTTTCATTCTCATACATTTAGTGGCCAAGAAAGGCTATTAGTTACTTTAGCTCACTCAAGTATTTTTGAATAGCCTGTTTACATTTAATTATTGAATACTCTGTTTACAATGTGACTGATGTTACATCCTGAGAACATCCAGTTTCTCAGAACGCCTTCAATGTAACAAAGAAAAAACAAATAGACAAACAATCTTTTATTCCTAGTTTCCCCTTACTAGGGAGTTGATATGTTATCATATGATTTAGGTTATACCACTCAAATACACCCAGAGATATTAGTTCATGACAAAACTATGTCACAGAAAAGGTGAGGCATGTGGCTTTTTTCCACTGTCTGGGAATGGCAGGAGCAGTGTACTTTTGGTTCAGAATATTTTGTTCAGTACTGGTGGAAGAACATTTTGTACAGTACTGATGGAAGCTGTTTTCTGACTGGTACTGAGATATTGTGGTTCTAGGTTTTCCTCTAGTACCTCCACCAAAGTTGTTTCTGGAAGCTCAGTTTAGAGTCAGTTTTTCTAGCCTTTCCAAGATTCTGGTTTCCACCCAATCTATGTAATAAATCCCTTCCTGCTTGAATTAGCTAGCAGAAATTCACTCTCTGATCTCCAGGTTGGAGTAAGAAGGTCAGTTATGAACATACTGGTTTCTTTTCAGTGTGTTCCAATAATTTAACTTCATCAGCTTTTCAGAATCTGGATATTATCTAGATTAGTTTAGTTTTATAATGAACTGCCAAACTGTATTCCAAAGTGGCTGAGGTCTTTTGCATTCTCGCCAGTAATGGCTGAAATGACTGAGGGTGAGTACTTGTTGGTTGCTTCTTCATCAGACATTGGCACTGTCCATTTTTGATTTAAAAATTTATTTATTTATTTATTTATTTATTTATTATTTAAGACCTTTATTAACAGGTGCTTGCAGTTTGTTGACTTTTTTGAAAAAATCAAGTTGTAAACTTTTATTACAAATTAAAAATGAAGTTCTTAAAAATCTCAACTTGACCAGATATGAAACAATTCAAAAACCTTTAAAGGCGTATTGAGAAAAACCAGGCTTAAAAAAAAAAAAAAAGTTTGTTATTACCAAAAAGAGACATCTTTAGGTAAAAATAATAAAAACCCCATGCTGCATAGATAATGCAGATAGTTCTATTTATCTGGTCAACGGGCAAAAGCAAGCACTTAAGGTCTTCAGCTCCAATCTTTTGTTCATTTCTTATTGCTGGAATTTCTTATTTCTTCTTGTTGGATGACTAAACCGGATGATGGTAGAGATGCTAAGCCGGCATTTACTCAGCCCCGCCCTGCTCAGCCTCGGGAGCCGACGAATTCTCAGCTGGTGGATGGGCTGCTTTTGTCTCTTTGCCATCTTGTGGTTTAGGGTTTTCTGGGCGTCTGCGTCGGTAACTGAAGTCGCGGCGGTCCCGACGTTGAGGTGGCTGCTGACCTTGGGTCTCATCTCCTTGATTTTCTTTGTCCTCTTCATTGCTGTCCCCCCTAGGCTGTCTTTGGCGAGGAGGGCCCCTGCGGAATCGTGGTCTGTATCCCCGGTACATATTCTGCCTCACTGGTCTCCCTTGTTCTCCTGCACCCTGGTCGTCAGCACCCTCCATCACTTCTCCCTGCACAGGAGGGTTGGAATATTGTGGTCGACGCCCACAGGGTCTCCGCACGCAGTCAGGTGGGGGGGCCTGGCCTTCGGCAGCGCTCTCTGATCCCTCGTTCTTTTCCCCACTCTCACTCTTCTGGTAATGTTGCTGGTAGTTGCGTGGAGGACCCCTACGACGTGGATAGCGTCTGTAATGGTTACGGTCTGCTGCATATTGACTGCCTTGAACTGGAGCCACCAGGACCTGTAACATTTCCTGCCTCCGCCCCCTTTTCTCCTTCAACAGCATCAAACTCCACAGTCTCTCCATCTCCTGCACTGCGAAGGTACTTCCTGGGGTTCTTCTTTAGGGCAGTCTGGTGTACAAATGCATCTTCCTTGGTGTCATTCCTGTTGATGAAACCATATCCGTTCCTTACATTGAACCATTTTACTGTTCCCAAAACCTTCCTTGCGATGACCTTCTTGTCCCCGCCGGCAGGCGCCGCCGATGGGAGGCCGCCCGGGTCACCGCTCCGTGCGCCGCTGCCCGGAGTGCCGGGCTTGGTGTCGGCGGCGCTGAGGGCGGGGGCGGCGGGCGGCTGCTGGGTCTCGGCCTCGCTGCTCATGGTTGCGGTGATGGTGACTGGGGCCGCCTGCGGCAGCTACGGCTCCTCCCGGGATGTGATGGTAACTAGGCCGGCGGCAGCGGTGGGGCTGCTCAGGGCTCTCTGGGGTCCGCTCTCCGCTCCCGCTACCGATCGAACTCTAAAAAAAATTTTTAACTGCAAGTATATAATGGCAATACATTGTTTTTTAAATTTTAATTCCTCTAGTGACAAAGAATGTTGAATATAAATTGTTTTGTTTACTTACCTTTATATTTTCTTTAGTGAGATATGTGTTCAGATATTCTGTATTATTTTATTAGGGTTATTTGCTTTCTTAATTTTGAGTTTTAAATATTCTTATATTTTTGATACAAGTTTTTTTCAGATATATGTTTTTATTTTTCCTCCCCAGGCTGTGGCTTCATGTTTTTCTTAACAAGGTCATTGAAAGAAGATATTTTTCATTTTAATAAAGTCAAGCTAATCAGTTTTTTCCTTACTGTATCATGCTTTTGGTACTTATGAGACATAAGCAGCCATGGTGATGCTGTATTTTTCAATGGCTTGCCAAAATATTCTATGTATCGAATTTTATATTGTCATGACATCAGAAGTGATAGACTCATTTTCCCTATCCAGTCTATCATCGTTGGGCATTTGGGTTGGTTCCAGGTCTTTGCTATTGTAAACAGTGCTGCAATGAACATTCGTGTGCACCTGTCCTTGTAGTAGAATGATTTATAATCCTTTGGATATATACCCAGTAATGGGATTGCTGGGTCAAATGGGATTTCTATTTTTAGGTCCTTGAGGAATCGCCACACTGTCTTCCACAATGGTTGAATTAATTTACATTCCCACCAACAGTGTAAAAGTGTTCCTATTTCTCCACATCCTCTCCAGCATCTGTTGTTTCCCCATTTTTTAATGATCGCCATTCTAACTGGTGTGAGATGGTATCTCAATGTGGTTTTGATTTGCATTTCTCTGATGACCAGTGATGATGAGCATTTTTTCATATGTTTGTTGGCCTCCTGTATGTCTTCTTTTGTAAAGTATCTGTTCATATCCTTTGCCCATTTTTGAATGGGCTTGTTTGTTTTTTTCTTGTAGATCTGCTTTAGTTCTTTGTAAATTCTGGATATCAGCCCCTTGTCAGATGGGTAGACTGCAAAAATTTTTTCCCATTCTGTTGGTTGCCAATTCACTCTACTGACTGTTTCTTTTGCCGTGCAGAATATTATGGAATATTATGCAGCCATCAAAAACGATGAGTTCACGTCCTTTATAGGGACATGGATGAACCTGGAAACCATCATTCTCAGCAAACTGACACAAGAGCAGAAAATCAAACACCGTATATTCTCGCTCATAGGCGGGTGTTGAACAATGAGAACACATGGACACAGGGAGGGGAGCACTACACACTGGGGTCTGTTGGGGGGAAATGGGGGAGGGGCGGGGGGTGGGGAGGTGGGAAGAGATAGCATGGGGAGAAATGACAGATACAGGTGAGGGGACGGAAGGCAGCAAAGCACACTGCCATGTGTGTACCTATGCAACAATCTTGCATGTTCATCACATGTACCCCAAAACCTAAAATGCAATTAAAAAAAAAAGGAAAAAAAAAAAGAAGTGATAGACTCAAGTCTAGATTACCAGCACCGGCTCTTGACCATTCTGTATGATGGAGGCCTTGACCTTTCCATCTTCAACAAAGTTATTTTAATCCTCCTCTTTATACTCTGCATCTCCTAAAACAACAGATGGCTCCAAGTTAGTATAGCAAATTAATATTCTCTATGTACTATTTCACACCAAATTTTACTCACTATTTTATCTATGGTAAACATTTGTTATCATCTTAGAACTTTTACAGAGAACTTATTTCATGTGTAGCCTCTGATTGATACAAATAATATTCTGATTTTATCTTACCTTTAAAAATTCATACATGCCAAAATATTTTTACATACCTCTTGAACTGAAGACAGTGTGGCAATTCCTCAAGAATCTAGAACCAGAAACACCATTTGACCGAGCAATCTCATTACTGAGTATATAACCAATGGATTATAAATCATTCTACCTTAAAAGACACATGCACATGTGTGTTTATTGCAACATGGTTCACAATAACAAAGACTTGGAACCAACCCAAATGCCCAACAATGATGAAGTGGATAAAGAAAATGTGGTGTCTATACAGCATGGAATACTATGCAGCCATAAAAAGGATGAGTTCATGTCCTTTGCAGGGACATGGATGAAGCTGGAAACTATCATTCTCAGTAAACTAACACAGGAACAGAAAACCAAACACCACATGTTCTCACTCATAAGTGGGAGTTGAACAATGAGAGCACATGGACACAGGGAGGGGAACATCACACACCAGGGCCTGTAGGAGAGTGGAGGACTAGAAGAGGGATAGTATTAGGATAAATACCTAATGTAGATGACTGGTTAATGAGTGCAGCAAACCACCATGGCACATGTATACCCGTGTAACAAACCTTCACATTCTGCACATGTATCTCAGAACTCAAACTATAATAATAATAATAATAATAATAATAATAATAAATTGGGGGACACTCAATTTGAGGGGAAAATAGATTCTGAGGATTACCAATCAGCCCTCAGATAGTTCTCCAACACATTTCTCAGGACGCTGAGAATTCGCTAGTTTTCTAAACGTATTCTCTACTCACATATGTGTACTGAGGGAGACATAGATAAAGTTTAAATATACTGAAGAACATTCTTTAAAATTATTTAAATGTCACAAAAAGAAAAAGGATCCTACCTAATAGTAATAATATTACCAACTTTATGTTAAAATTTCTGAGGAAATGGTAATTAAGTTGGTATCTCAAAGACCTAATTATCTTAAAGACACTTAATTCAATAAGAATTAGCCAGTGGTAATTATTGGCTGAAGGAAGGGTACAAGGGTTGAGGAGAATTTATTCATATGGGAGGAAAAGTCTTATACAAATGTTCCCCGATAGGCGAAAGAGGTTACTACATTACAGAAACTGAAATTAGATTTTTTCAGTTGAACAAGTAGGGGAGTCATGTGAACAGAATTTAAATATAGAAGCATGATCCAAATTACACAATTCTTTAAAGACATGTTAATGAACTACATTTTAAAAATTCCAAATAATGGCAGAAATCTTTGGTACTAATTAGGAATTATTGGTATAAGTTATATAATTTTAAAATAATATTTGGGTTGCTATGTGGACATTGAATTAAAGGGTGTTACATTTTTTGTTTCTCTCCAGTCAATGTAAAAAAATAAAATTCCCTTTGTGAGTGTGCTACAAGAAAAAACAATGGCAAACACTTCTTTCTTAAACCAGAGAAAATGTATTACATTTCTGAAAAACAAAAGCCAAAATACACAATGCTGTATCAGAAATACCATACACACTAGCCAAAGATAAGAACAATAGTTCTCAACTGGGGGCAATTTTGCCACCCAGGGGATGTTTGGGTAATGTCCAGAGACATTTTTGACTGTGATAACTTGAGAGATGGATGTTACTACTGGCCACTGAGTAGAAGCCAAAGATGTTGCTAAAACATCTTACAATTCACTCTATCGCTCTCCTCAACAAAGAATTCTCCACTCAGAAATGTCAGTGCTACTGCTGTTAAGAAATTGTGGTTTATTATCAGGACCATTACTGGACTATTAGTATCTTCCCATGCAGCCTCTCTTCTGTAAACATTTCCTGGTCATCAGATGACCAAACCAGGATTATTCCAAAGTTGAGGACACCTTGAATTCTTCCATGATAGGTAGACATGAATCTATAATGCAAAGCAATTTTCTGCTTGAATCAGTTAAATTGTTTCTGCAAAAATTAACCTCTGATAATCAAAATGACTAATGGTGAATTCCAGTGTGTAACATAACCAATTCTCATTTTTGAGTAAGATAATAAAATGACCTGAAGTTCAGGCAGCAAGGAAATTCTTGGATTAGCTGCACCCCATTAGATGATGCTTGGCTGGCCTTATGCTGGAGAGAGTGAGAGACTGAAGAGATCAGATCGATTTAGCATTCAACGAGAAGCGTTTAGGGGTGTGTATGTGTGTGTGTGTGTGTGTGTGTGTGAAATATTTGCAATAAAACACACCTGTGAACCTCTAATTACTCTATGTCCTTTAAAATACATTGTTTTTACCTTGGACTTAAGAAGTACTTCGTTTTCATTTTATAAATAATAATTTAAAAGTCTATATATTCTATTGTGTCTCTAGGTCACAATAAATTGAAATGCAAATTCCAGTGTAAAATCCACTGCAGTAGTAAAGAAAACAATCACTATGGCAATGTAATCATGAGGTTCTGTATAGTGTATTGAAATGACATTTCCATGCTACAAGGTGATAACAACTTGTCACAGAGACCACGCTTGAAGTTTTCCCTTAGACACAGTTCCAAATAGTTTATAAAGACGAACTGAACAAAGAGTAATGAGAAAATACACTTAAACCAGAGAATTAAGAGCCAAACACTTCGTCTATTTATACAGGAACCAGGATCACCAGGATTTAAAAGAACCAGGCTCACCAGGATAACAAATCCAGACTGTTTGAAGGCTGAAAATTTTGAGTATGCGTTAGAAATCTTTTCCGAGTAAATAAAGAATTTCTACATTCCTGTACTCAGAGAAAATAATTTTCCATTCAGTTTTTTTAACCATGAAAACAAACTTAACAAATACATAAATGGTTAGCTTTTGTATGCTACAAGTCAACATTCAATTGAAACAAAGGATGGAGCCTGAAAATATAATAACTAAACTGATTAGAAAAATGATTCAGTAGAGAGTTTCTTCTTCAAGTAATTTTAGGACTAAAGTAGTATTTATGATTAATTCTGTGCTACCACTTTAACCTGCTGTATAAAACAAACTTTTGTATTTAAAACAGTTACTGTACATTTTAAAGACATGTTATAAAAGATTAAATGCTAAAAATAAAAATAGAATGACATTATATGTACATATATG